GTGTGGGGTCGGGGGCATTGGTGCCTCGGGTCCCCTGGTTCCTTGTTAGTTCTGTCCCTGTGTGGGCGTGTCATGAGTGTAACCATCCAGGTCAAGCTGGATCTGAAATGTTTAAAATGTTTCTCTCAGTTGGTGAACTGTAATAACTTTGCTTCAACTGTTTTCACTCTCTGTCTGTGGAAAACGTTTGTGCCTAATAAAGGAATGCATGAAGCGACAGGACAAGTCACCGCTGATGGTGAGTAACTTTTAAAGTATGTCTGTTTATTTAAAGTGCATTTAAAACAGAAGTCAGTAATAAGTATGCTGCTCGTGTTTGACAGGAGATCTGCCAAAGGCTGGTGAATCTCAGCGTTTATCTTCATGCACTCCAGGTAAGTCGGACTTCACAACACAGCACTCGATATGTTACAGACACTGTGTACAGTAGTACACAAATAATTCAAACAAACAAATGAAACAAACTAAAAACAAGGAGCCAGAGTCCAAAACAAACCAAAACAAAGCCCACGAAATGTTCAAGAACACAGTAAACAGGTTCAGGGGGCCCAGAGGTCAACAGCACAACAACCCAAAACAGTTCAGTTCAGGAGGCCGACTGTGCGAAAAGCAACGGCGGCGCAGGCGAAGGAGGTCTGGAGGCCGGCTGTGTGGCAGGACCAGGCGATGGCAGGACCAGGCGGCGGCAGGACCAGGCGGCAGCATGGAAGCCGCAGATGGTGGCGCAGCAGGCGATGAAGGCTGGACGGGCCCCTCGGACCCTCCAGCGGGAACAGACGAAGGCTGGCATGGTTCTCCAGAACCCCCAACGGGAACAAGACTTATATTCTCTGAATCAACCGATTCAGGCAGAATAAATCCTCTGGGTGAGAAACAGTCTTGCTCACAGTGAAAGAAATTGCAGAAGGTTGGGTTGGTATGCTCGAGCGGAGAGTGCAATAAACATTCACTTTCTCCCATGAATGGGGTGTGCTCAGTCGTTCTGGAGTGGCGTCGTCGTCAACGCCGTTTACTCCGGGAAGGGGGTGGGTCGGGCCACGAACCCTCCAGCTGACCGGGCTGCAAATCCTCTGGCTCGTCATACAGCAGCGGTTCTCCAGAACCTCCAGCAGAAACAGTCTGCGGGGTCCATGTCCAGCTCGCAGACTGTCTTCAGAACGAATGCAGCGTCGTTCAGTCCCAGCAGATAGTTGTAGCAGTGCAGGTGTTGTCACGGTCAGTGGGAGCTGACTGTGTGTAGAGTGATGGAGGATCTCAGACAGAGAAGAAAACGGGACTAAGGTTTAAACAAACAGCGAGACAAAAACATAGCCACAACTAACTGAAAGCTAACTGAGAAAAACTAAATAACTATGAAAACTGTGGCGAGAGACGTGGAACTGAACAGGTTCATGGGACCATAGAACTATGAAACAAACCCAACATGAACCTGAGCAGGAAGATCTCTGTGACGTGAAACCAAACAGACAACCTGACACAGACTGAACGCACACAGGAGGTGATCACACGAGGAAACAGCTGACACGAATGAGCATAAAGACACCACAGGGGAAGTAAAACAAAACACACTGAACATGGAGACTCCTGACTCTACAAAATAAAACAGGAAACACTGAGGGATGTAGCCATGACAACACGAGCCTGACATCATAAGACATGCAGACATGAGCTCACACTCCGTGCAACACTGCACTAACTTCCACTTTAATCTTGTGCTGCTCAAACTTGCATTGCTGCCACTTTTTTTATGTGCAATTAATCACTTTTCTATTTCTCTCTCTTATGTCTTTCTGTAAATTTACTGCTTAATATTTCTTTATTTATACATGTTTTAAGTTTTTCCACAGTAAAAGCTAAACTAAAGCTGGTCAGCAGCCGTCTCTTTTGGTGCTTATTTTGTCGACTGGTTTGAAATATTTGTAAATAAAAGTCAAATCTACCAGAAACAAAGAAGAGAATCCATCTTTACACAATAACACTGTGGAATCTTTCTAAAACATCTCAACACAACAGACACACTTCATCTTTGTCACAAACCAATAATATCTGACACTGGAT